CCCCAAAACCCCAAAACCCCAAAACCCCAAAACCCCATAAATCTAGTAGGATATTGAAAAATAAAATAGAGATATGGGATCTGCTCCAAGTAAACCAGAAGATTCTACATCAAGAAGGACAATAGTTGCCATTGCAGGACTATCGGCTCTTCTTGCAGGAGGATATATCTGATACAGATATGGAAGTAAGAATTCTCTTAATCTCCCTAACTTTGAACATAGTCTTCTCTAAAGAAAATAAAATGAAGCAGAAGGTTAAATCTAAGCCAATAAGGAAAGTCCAAGAGGAAGAGAAGACAGCTAAAAGCATAGCCAAGAACGAGAGTTCTCAAGGACAAGGAGGTATTTTTAACTGTTAGAAACACTATCAAATGCTAAGTTTTAGCTGAAAAAGTGCAAGATAGTATTGCTAAAGCCGGGAAAGAAAGACAACCCAAAGAGTCATCTCAGAAAGATCTCGACACAGAAGTAAAAACAAAGGAAGATAGTGAACTTGCCAAAGTTTTAAAGAGTAAAACAGATAGCTAACTTTACAGATTTTGAAGAAACTATGACAAAAGCCCAAAAGGAGTTTTGAGATAAAGAATGAGCTATCCTCATCAAGGAACTTGATAAGTCAAAGGATGGATTTGTTGGTATGTACATTTTATTCTAAGTAAATAAAGCCTAACTGTTTTATAGAGGAGATTAAACATCTCAAGTAAGATTTCATAGAATTATCCCTATAAAGTAAGGATGACATCCTAAAAATGTTGAAGGTTACAGGGAGACTAGGAAAATCTAGAAGTAAAATAGCAAGGCACAAGAACCAAGATTTGAGAGCTGGGCTGATAAAGTCTAGCCCAGATTTGTATTTTTCTTATGCTGTGAAAGCAATTATTGAGGAAGAAAATTTATATAACGAGAGTATTGATTACGTTCTTCAAAGAATTGGGATAACTCCAGAAGAATTCTTTAATGTTCAGTCAGTATATATGAACAACGCCCAATTCTGAGAAGCTCTTACAAAGATAGATATGGAAACTTTGCCTATTGAGGAGGAAGGAGAGGAAATTAAAGAAGTTGAAAAGATACCCAAAAAGGTAGGAATCACGCTCTCATGAATTCTCTCTTAATCAATAAATTAGGCTTGCAAGAACATGCTTAAGCAACTATACAAAGATGCCGAGAAAATTTTTGACTCGATTTACAAGCAGAGGTAAGCACTAATATAATCTTGTAGAGTTGATGATACTAATATGAAGGAATTATCCCCCGTTCTATTTGAAACAATAGCTAATGATCTTATGTTTGCTAAAAATAACTATAGAATGGATGACATCCTCAAGATAGCAAGTAGTTGTAACTTGATGGATGATAAAGAATTTATGGATTATATCCAGAAGTTCCAAAATAAGCTCCTTGCTTCAATCGTTGAAAAAGAAGACCCACAAGTATTGGCTGCTTAGGAGTGGTTATTTTATTACATAAGGAGATAGTCAATATATTTAATAAAATTGGGGTTTTGGGGTTTTGGGGTTTTGGGG